ACTAAATAGAATTATTAATACAATTAAATAAATCAGTAATAATTACTCACCAGTGCTAAATACAAGGTTAAATAAAAATAAAAAGGAAGGGAAGAACTTTTTATCTAAGAAAAGAAAAAGAGTTTTTTTATAACAAAGGTGGGTTAGAATTTTTTCTCAAATCTATTAAACAGGGGTGGAGTGGTATTTTTCATCAAGATGTAATATAATTGAATTGTTCTTTGTTCTTTATTCAAAAAGTGGAGAATTTTTGTCAAGACAAGAGTATAAAGTTGAGTTGTCAGTAATTAGAGCCAATTTAGATGTAAAATTTTTATAAAGGTTGCTTTTGTAAATAAGAAACAATACAGAAGATTGAACCTTGCGGTACCCTTAAAACTACTTGAAATGAAGAAGAGTGTAGGCCTTACAAGAACAAGTTTAATATTGCAGTTAGAAATGATTTAATAATCTAAAACACTTTATATAAAGAAATTATTTACAGAGTGAAGACTAATTGTAGGATAATTAGAGAGGTCAAATTGTTTTCTAGAGTTTTAAAAAATTGGAACCACTTATTTAACACATTTTAATAGTTTAGCCAAAAATTCAAGAGAGTTCTGAGAACACTTTTTTAACCAGAGGTGTGGAGTCGTAAAAAAAAAGTAACAACTCCGACTCCAGTTGTTGAAATTTTTTGAGTACAACTTCGACTCCAGTTGTTGAAATTTTTTGAGTACAACTCTGACTCCAACTCCGACTCCGACTACAACTCTAAAGCAAAATTTTAAAAAAAATTCTGTCATAGATAAACATTAGAAAATAATTTTAATACTAATTAAATTTTCCAAGACAAGTTATTGAAGGAGATATTAATAAAAGTATTTGTTGTTTTGCCATTATACTTCCGGTTATAAGCTTAATATTAACCTTATGAATCTGCATAGTTTTTTCCGTTAAAAAAACATCTGGTTTCAGTAATAAGTGTTTTCGCTTACCGCAGAGTTTTTTGAACTCACACAACTAGATTAGGTTTTCCCCTTTATATTTAGTCTACGGTGGTTGTAATAACTTTTGCTGTAGCATGTTTTTGTTTTTTGTTTAGCGTATCGTTATGTGTTTGAGTTAAATAAACTAGCATAATAAAATTAGTAATTTAGGTGAAGCAAACTTTAAAAGAAACTTTTTTAAGAAAATAAGTAGTTATTTTTTTTAAATACACCACTAAGTACAATATCGCCCAACAATTTTAATTTTGAAAGTTGAAAAATCTTAATTTTTTTTATTAAATTGAGGAAACTGTTTTAAAAGTGATTTTTTATATATTAACTTATGCTTATAATAATTTATATTTCTAATTCAATAAATTGTTTTTAAAATGATCTAATATATATTTTTTAGATGTATATAAAATTTATATTAAAAACTTATAAATAAACTCAAAATTATTTTCATTCGTATAATTACAAAACTCTTTTTTTTTTCGTTTGCAAGCAATTTAATTTAGGGTAGTAAAATAAAAAAAGGAGAATAAATATGAGGTAATCTTTGTTTAATTTCTTGAACAATATTTTTATTTATTTATATACCAACTTGAATAAAATATACTGTCCTTACGGCACCATTGGTTTCGGATAAAATTTTATTTTGATAAAGATCACACAAATTACATATGATTTTAATAACTTAAGTCAACTCTTTTTCTGTGATAGTTTTAATTCGAAAAACATTGTCAAAGTCTTTTTATAAAAGAAATTTTATAATAAAATATAATAAAAGTTTTCAAAGTAAATCTTTTGTTCTTCAAAATACAATACTTTAAAATACCATACTGGAACTTTAAACAATTTGGAGAGAATAGAAATAACTAGGTTTTTATATACTAGTTTGTCTTATTTTATAGAAAAATACATAGTTATTAGTAAAGAATAGAGACTGTCATTAAACTAAAATGCGCCTTAGTATTAATTTAACCGAGTCTGTAATGTGCGCATGCATTATGAAATTTCCATTATATAAATATTCAACTTAATATTAGTGTCATCAGCGGATGTTACAGTCTGCTCGTGAATTCTTTAACTTAATAAAATAACTTGATTTATAAAAACTTATTGAATTGCACGCAGAAGAAATTTAACAAATTGCCTTCATTTGAAAATTGCAACTAATAGGTTTTTTTTTTTTTCTTCTGTACCAGCCCCCCTCCCCTGTATAACTTAAAGGTAAAGGTATCCATATACCTTTAACTAATAAGAAAAGCAAAGAGTAATAATGAATAAAGAAGTAATTTTTAGTACAATAAAAATAAATTGTTCATTCTTTGGCACATTTTTTTAATATTTCAAATAAAAGTCTTAATACTTTTGTTATCATGATAACAAAAATATAAAAAATATTAATATGAAATTTAATTCATAAATTATTTATGAATTAAATTTCATGTTGCTAAATATTTAGATAAAAAGTTTAGCGTAAAATTACATTAAATATAATTGCTATATAAAAGTAAGAAATATGGCGATTAATAACGTTACTTCTTTCAAACATTTGAAACAAATATTTTTCATCGTTATTCGAAAGTTAATGTGGTTTTTTTAAAAATTAATTACTTCTTTTATGTTACCGCTAATTTAAACATTAAAAAATTATAAAAAGTAGCTTAATCAAATTCGCTCAAGGTCCAGCGTGTAAAATAACAGCCAGTCAACAGTCAATGACTGCCCAAAATGAGTAAAATTGCTATTTTAACCTCTCAAAATGAATTCTTGCCGGTCATGGTTGACCAGTTAAAAAATAATCAGAGTTTAAAAAAATAAGATTTGAAAAATAATCAGATTATTATTTGGAAAAAACATGAACTAAATTATTATATAATCATTAAAATTTTGAAAAAGTTTATCAATTTATCAAACTTCCTTTAAGAAATAAAATGAAAATCTGCGCGCTTAATTTTAAACTATAAAAATGGCGTGTAATTTTAATGTTAATTGTTTACAAATTTAAAATAGGAATACTAATTTGTTAATTATCAAATATTAAGTTATTTTTGTATTTATAAAGTTCAGTCATGAAGAATTATTACGAAGATTAAAATGAAATCAAAGAAAATAATAAAAATGTTGACCTTCAAAAAAAACAGTTGACCTTCAATTCTAAGGGTGAACTGGTCAAATTGACCGCTCGCCTTCGATTTCTTATTTTACAAGCTGTAGGTCTACTTAAAAATCTCTTAAGGTGTACATAAATTGCTCTACGTGTAACGGATTAAAACAAGGCCTGACTATGATGGAAATCAAACTGTGGAAATCAAAGTGTTTAATTGAAAGTTAACTTAATCATTGGAAGCCATTGTGATTTAGATGTTTAACAATATATATATATATATCATCGCATAAAGTTAATGCCTTAAGCATAAAGTTAATGCCTTAAGCATTTTTTATTTAAAACAAGGCCTGTGGTGGCATAAAAATATCCTTTTATATTTGTAAAAACTTTAGTATTTATATGATGTAGTATTTGCCGAAAGAGAAGATGATCAGATGCATGTTTGTTGTGACTCTATCAATTCAAGATAAAGAAGCATAATCTTCTGACAGATTTAAAAAAGGAAGAGAGATTAAAAAAAAATGTTGTATCAAATAACATTTGTTAGAGAAAACTAAATTTGATTTAGGTAACTAATTTAGGTATCAGCACGTAGAGAGTTAGCAGATTCAGGAGAAAATGGTAGTGGTAGAAGTAAGAAAACTCAAAGAGAGTGCCTTAAACATTGTATGAGTGAGCTTTAGTTAAAGAAAGAAAATGCTCTTGATTGTTTATATTAGAGAAACAGCATAAAAGACGAAGGCTAATGATGATGATGATGATGATGATGATGATGATGATGATGATGATGATGATGATGATGATGATGATGATGATGATGAGGATGATGATGGTGATGATGATGATGATGATGATGATGAGGATGATGATGATGATGATGATGATGATGATGATGATGATGATGATGATGATGATGATGATGATGATGAGGATGATGGTGATGATGATGATGATGATGACGATGATGATAATGATGATGATGACGATGATGATGATGATAATAATAATGATAAAGATCATGATAATCATGCTGGTAATGATGATTATGTTGATCATGTTGATCATAATGATGTTTATACATGCATATATATATATATTCAAATCAATTCCATGAATAAATTTCCCATTTTATTTAACAAGTTAAATAATTAGAATATTTAATTCTAATTATTTTTATTTTGAGCAATCTTATTAAGTTTTCATTTTTAAATCGCTTCTCTTCTTTGATATAGTAGAGAGAAAACAAGAACAAAAGACAATTATTTGCAATTTTAATGAATGAATTATTAAATTTATTCATTGAAACTTTGATTTATTTTGTACACCACTTTTAAAAACAGTTTTAAAAGGTTTAAACAATTAGATTAATATATTGTCTTCTTTTATTTTTATTTTCATTATTAAATTATAACTGTAAAAAAAAAAGCTAAATAATATTTTCTTTTTAACAAAACGTTTTCGATGATTTCCACAATCCTCTCGATACTTTTCAAGTTGCTAAAACAACTTTTTAATTGATGACTGTTAATAAAAACACTATACATTATATATAGGATTGCTAGAATTCCAGCTTTTACGAAGGAAAACACTGTTCGAAAAAATTTTTTTTTACAGGTTTGTATTCTACTCCGTAAGGCCAGACATTTGGCAACCCTAATTATATGGAAAGATTTTGAATATTTAAGTATATAAGTAAATACTTTAGTATTTTAAAACTAAAAATTTTAAAATATTTACAAAACTTTTTTACATAAGTCAATTACATAGGTGTTATTGTTCATCATGTTTTATATTTTAATTTTAATCAATATATATAATATATTTTTGGTTTACTTTACCTGCTAATTTATTTTACCAAAAGTATTCATATATCTTTTATGATAAATATTTATGTATATATATATATATATATATATATATATATATATATATATATATATATATATATATATATATATATATATATATATATATATATATATATATATGTATATATATATATATATATATATATATATATATATATATATACTCATATAGTGTCGCTTTAAGAGCATTTTAATGTAAAAAAAGTCTCTTACGACTACAATTTTAATTACCTCGTCTCTTAAGCTGTTTTTGATTGTCATCGAAATGTCAAAGCAATTAATTTATGCGGAAGTACATTAAATTTAATTGTTTTTTAAAAAATTTTTTAAAAACCGCAATTATAACGACTAGAAAGTTTTTTTTAATTAGTGGTGTTTTTGTTATTGATTTAATAAAAAACATTTTTTAAACATGCGTAAATGTTGCTACATCGACTATCTTATAGCCTGACTCGCAACGGAGTGCTGCTACATCGACTGACAAATAGCCTGACTCGCAACAGAGTGCTGCTACATTGACTGACAAATAGCCTGACTCGCAACGGAGTGCTGCTACATCGACTGACAAATAGCCTGACTCGCAAGGGAATGCTGCTACATCGACTGACAAATAGCCTGACTCGCAAGGGAGTGCTGCTACAACGACTGACAAATAGCCTGACTCGCAAGAGAGTGCTGCTACATCGACTGAGGGTTTGGTTTGGCCAGGCAGTCTATCAATTAAAAAAAAAATTCAATTTTTAAAACTTTTTCTGGTCTGGTTTATTAACGCGCTCTTTAAAACTACAGTTTATGGGAAATATTTTTTGATGCTACGCAAGAGACATGCAAGAGTATATATATATATATATATATATATATATATATATATATATATATATATATATTATATATATATATATATATATATATATATATATATATATATATATATATATATTTATATCTACATATATATATATATATATATATATAATACTTTGTATTAAAAATATAATTTTAGTGGTACAGTGTCAATACAGAGAAACTCTCAAGAAATGTTGCACTAAAATTTGAAGAACAGAGTTTTGATGCAGGAACTAAACGGTTTTTAGATAATTGTTACAAAAAGTCTGATTATATCTTCACTCAGTTTTTTCATAGCATTGCTCGAACATTTTTAGGATGGTTCATGTCTATGACTACTGTAAATGGGTGAGTTGCTTGCAAAATTTATGTTTGACATTTATACGTGTTAAAACAAAAAAATCACCAGAAAAAATGCCAGCTAGTTATGGTTATAAACTTTATACGATATGAGTAAATCCAGTGGTGTACACTTGTCGTCACCCGTTGGCAAATGCCACATGAATCTTTCAAAGGGTTACTGGAAATATTGTTTTGATGCAATTGAGTCGCCTAGCTGGGCAATTCAAATTTAATTACTTAAAATCAAAATTATTTAGTTAAATTTAACTTTAAAATTAAAATTTTATAATTAAATTTCCATTTAATGTAATTTAAATTGGCGCAGTTTGCATTTCTACATTTAGCAATGTTATACATATATTCATTTTGCAAAACTCAAGTCAGCATTTTGCAATCCCAACGCAAAATCCAACCTATTTTTGCTTTATGATGACATACAACTGCCAACCTGAACCTATTAAACTGTCGGCATACAAAAATAAATATATGTAAAAGTTATGTAATATTCGTTCATTATAAGTTTATAATTTATTTATTGTAATTACTTTTTTTTTCAAGTTTAACAAGTTTTAATATAAAAATTAATCTATTTATTTACAATTCATTTTTTAAAGCAATTTTATTTATTTAAAAGTTAAAAAAAAATTACTTTTTAAATGTCTGTTGTTCTCATGTTTTTTCACTCGAAATTTTAGTTTTTATTTTATTAAGTTTTAAAATTTATTAGTTTATTTTATGAGTTAAATATTTTTTTTGCTTGAAAATAACTTAAAAAATAAAAAATCACTAATTCATAAATTTGCTACAATTTTTAACCATTTTAAAAATGTATTCTGCAAAATAGATAGCTCAATGTTCTTAAAAGAACAGAGCAATTATAAATTAATTTATGTATGTATATATATATATATATATATATATATATATATATATATATATATATATATATATATATATATATATATATATATATATGTAAATCGTGAATTCCGGCCAAAACAGGATTTGCCGGAATTGTTAAGATAATTTTGGCTGGAATAAGAATTATACTTAGGAATTGTCCATAAGGTACGTACGCTCGCATGGGAAGAGGAGGTCTGCAAATAGTTCTTTTTGCACCAAAATATTTCTAAATTTCTAAAAATCCTTACATAATTAATTACTGCAAATAAAATTACATATTGTTTATTAAGAATTTTGTATTTTTTACCTAGGTTAACCTATAGTTCTTCATTGCCATGTAGGATAATGGTTTTTTGATTTAATTTACACAGTCTGTGTCAAATGTCTAAAAAAATAAAGGTAAAAATAAATTCCAGCATTCCGGCCTAAAAAAATTTTTATTCCGCCTGGAACTGGAATGACCTAAAATTCACAAATTCTGGTGGAATGGAATTCTGGTACATCCCTAGTGCTTATGCATTTTCTTGCAATTTTTAAAATCTTTGATCTCTTAACTGATTGTTAACGATTGGAAGACAAATATTTTTTCTAGTTAGTTAACATTATGCATAATTTTAAACATTTATATAAGATCTTCCTTCTGTCTCCCCTCTGTCTCCTTGCCACTAATGTAGTTAGATTTAATGCTTTTAGTCTTTTTCATAGGAAAGAAGTCTCGTGATGATACCAGCTTCTTAGCTTTGTACTGGATTTTTTTCCATATTGTCACAATCAGATTTTAGAAAGGGAGACTAGGACTGCAAATCCTAGTCAAATAAAGGTCAAATAAAGCGATCGAAGAAATTTACAATCAAAATGAGCAAAAGATTTCTTGATAAATCTAGCATTTGACCTGCTTTGTTTGAAATTTACATCACCAGTTATTTATTTATATTTATTTATTTCATATTTATATAATTAAGGGCAGCAGAATTTAGTCTTTAGAGTTTGTTAAATAATTGTTTTTTTCCTGGTTTCTAAAATGTAAGTACATTTAGTATTGAATTAATTCAATTTGTAGCAAAAATTATAAAAAAGGAATAAAACATTGGTGTAAAAAATTCTTTAAAAATTTGATATCTCATTCCTTATATTTTTTTCCCCTGTAAGCAATAGTAATGGCTTTTGCTGATCCAGTCCTTGAAGTTCAAATGAGGTCTGATATTTTAAAGCTACTCTTCAAACGTGAGGTTTTTTTTTACTGTTTTTTTGTTTTGTTTTTAAAATTAAACAGATTTTTTTAAAAGCTTATCAGAAATAAGAAGATTTTTATGCCATGACGATGGAAAAACGTGTGTTTTTTCATCGTTTTGTTTTTATATCATACATCTTTGACAATCATTTGTCAGAAATGTCTGTGTAAAAAGATAAAAGTTTTTTCTCTTTGCACTTTAAGGATTAAAGACAAGATGCTGGTTGTTTTAGAAAGTGAAACAATAGTCAAATTAACTTCTTCACATCTGTTAGTATACTTTGAAAAAATATACTAACAGATGTGAAAAAATTTTTATATTTTGTTTACTGTTCTTTTATTTCCTTAGTAAATAATAAATTAAAATGTGGTTGACTGTATTTTTGCAAAGTAAATGTTCTGAAAATTTTTTGTAATTTTTTTTACTAGTTTTAATACATAAACTTTTTTTCTTATTAGGTTGTTAAATAGAGGATCAATGTTTGTATTTTCTGAGCAACAGTTTTTAAATCTATTGAATGTGAATGATACATGGCATGCTGAATCCTTTATTGATCTTGGAGCTGGAGATGGTAAAGTTACTGAAGATTTATTGCATCTTTTTGACAAAAAGTATGCCACTGAACAATCTCCTACTATGCAATGGAGACTTAAAGAAAAGGGTTTTGTGTAAGGCTATTTCAAAAACTTCTATGCATGAGTTTTGCAACATATTTCATTATGTTTATAAATTTTTAAACATATATATATATATATATATATATATATATATATATATATATATATATATATATATATATATATATATATATATATATATATATATATATATATATATATATTATGTGTATTAGTTCACACACACACACAGGTATATATATATATATATATATATATATATATATATATATATATATAGTATTTATATATATATATGTTATATATATATATATATATATATATATATATATGTATATATATATATATATATATATATGTATATATATATATATATATATATATATATATATATATATATATATATATATATATATATATATATATATATATATATATATATATATATATATATATATATATATATATATATATATATATATATATGTAGATCACATGGGTAAAACCACAGATGTCAGATTTTTCTCATTTTGAGAAAAATGAAATTTAGTGTTTAGTGACATTAGATATCTGTTTATTAATAATTTATTTAATTAAAAGTATATATTTCTGACATTTCAGTCCTTATAGAATATAAAAACGCAGTTTTTGTACTAAATTCAAGTATTATTTATTCACAATGTTCTTTTGAAAACAAGACACTCAATTTGGACGTCTGTGGTTTTTTCGTTGTAAACTCATCAACTCATAAATAACGTTAGCTTGTGACCTTTTAGAGCATTTACTTTTTTAAAGGTAGATGGTAACACATTGCAATTTACAACTACAACGTACTAAGTGTGTGATGGGATGATAAAGCCACCGCCCCACCTTCCATCTTTTAATAAAAAAAATTCGAATAAAATATTATATGAAAGTTTTTCTTAACTTTATACAAAATAGCCGTTCAACCTTATCTCATCCCCAACTTCATTTATTTACCACAGATAATTCCATGATGTCTGTGTTCCATCACTTTATATCAAGTTTGTATAAACCATACAAAATCCATTTGTGAACACAACGTTAATAAAAATGTTTTGTTTTTAATTTCAAAGAAAATTTAAAATAAATTAAAAAAAAAGATCAAATAATGTCTTACTTTTTCCATTCAGAAAATGTTTTGCTTTAGTAAGTCTTTAAGTTTTTAACAAAAAAAGGCAACAGAGCTATGTATGCTTATTTCAGTTTATCAGGCACTTCCATTATATATAAAAACACATGGTATGTAACACACATAAAATTAAATATTTCCATTTTTCCATATAATTAAACTTTAACTTTTAATATTTCATAACCTTTAATATTTCAATTTCTCTAAGTGAACATGTCTTAAATGAACAAACAACCAAGAAGTATGGCTTTGAAACTCTGAAAATTTCAGAAATTTTTCTTGGATCATCTTTATATACAATATTGAATTGTTATGGGTTTTTGTGAGATTGTCTAGTGTTTCTGGAAGAAACTTTTGATTTGCAATGACTAATGTTTCTGTCACATTTTTCGAGGTGTAATGCCTATACATAGTGTGACAGAGTTTTAATTGGTAATGAAACAGTAATGCTGTCAAGTTTTTCAGTTTTATAAACTAGATAATAAAATCAAATTGAAACTTCTCATTTTGTATTTTGCCTAGCACATAAATTATAAATCAATTTGATATCTTTTACACTTGACACAATCGATAATTTAAATTCATGCAGCATAGAACATACAACATCAGACCATCTGTTTCCAACAGTTTCATCATTACAATAAAAAAATATTTTTTAGATTGAAAGTATATTAGTTAAAACAGGTATTGCCTCGAATATTATACATATTGGTTTCAAACGATTTAGGCATTTTTATTTTTTTTAAATCTAAGAAAATTACTTTAAAAAGATCAGAATCAGAATATTATTGAGTCCTGTTTCTACTTTTTTTAGAATAAAAAAGTACACCTTATGAAAAAGTGAAAATAATTCAAGAGAAAATTTTGTAATTTTGTAAAAATGTAATGTTTTTTTTAATGTTTTTCTGTAAACGTAATGTTGTTTACTTCATCCGTAAAGTTAGTCATGTGACTTACGCTTTTATTATCATTGGTTTAGTTATAAATAACTTGAACAACTGCGTTTTTTACGCGGTAAACATTGAACAACAGTGGTTGTTTCAAAGTTGCCCTTTTTTTTAAATGATCATAGAATCTTAAAACAGTTTTTTTGCTATGAATTTTTAAAATAAAATAGCTTAGTACTAAAATATCATAAAAATATATAAAACTTGACATTTTCAAAAATTGGACATTTTACTTGTGTGGTCTTCATATATATATATATATATATATATATATATATATATATATATATATATATATATATATATATATATATATATATATATATATATATATATATATATATATATATATATATATATATATATATATATTTAAACCATATATATAATTTTGTATGTTAATTATACGATTTTGCTGTGCAACTGATTAAAGTGTCTACATGAAATAAATGTTAAAGTAGAAAAATTATAAAAAAATAGTTTAATTTTTATTTTGAACTAAATAATAATATCAATACATTAATAAATAAGAAAATAAAATATTTTAAAATAAGTAATTTATTCATGTACCTAATAATATTTCAAGCTTTTGTTTTAGTGGTATCCATAAGCTTTGGTGGTATCAATAAGCTTGCACACAGAATAGCAATCAAAACTATTTGATGCATTTTTAAATAACATTTTTAAATCTTTAATTTTTTTGCAATGTTTTCTTTTTCTTTTCTCATTTAATAATTGTCAAAAACTCTCCATTCTCTCGATTCTGGTTAATTTAGAGGATTTGCTGTTTTAGGCACAACTTTTACATTATTTTATTTGTTCCAGGTTTTAATATAACGACTTGAAGCACATCAGGTCAGAACACACGTCTACCATCATGTGCTTTAATGCTCATTTTTTTAAATACTTTTTAACAAATTGGCTAGAAAGTGTTAACTTAGAAATATAAGGTGCTGGTTTTTTGCTACACCTGCAAATGGCTTGCCATAACAAGCTGACTTCATGTTTTATTCATTTGAATTTCTTATCTGGTTTTCCCCTTTTTTTTAAAATATTAATTCACTATCCAAGGCCAAGAAATCCATTACAGATAAGGAAGCTACTTAGTTGAGGTTATAACCCTCTCTCAACTCTATATCTCTGAAACACAAACCTTGACAAACAAGGCCTTTGTACGGAGAAACAAGTTAAGCATCGTACTACCAGGAATGTGGTGGGCATCAAACTTGAAACCTCTCACAAGCAAGCACTCTACCATCTCACCACTACCACTATTAGTAGTAAGAGATTACCAATTCAGAGGGATTTTTATTTTCAACCTTATTTTCAACCATAAATTAATATTAATATTGAGGTTAACATTGAACCATGTTGTATATAAATTATTTAGATAAGAAATAATTTTTTTATTTTAAAAAATTGATTTTTTTAAAATAAGTGTTAATTTTTATTTCTTGTTATGAAATATTACGAAAAATTCTTAAAATGACGTGACTTTTCTTAATAATAAATTTGATCTGGTGTTTTTAACTTTTCTTCTTCTAATCTTTCCTTCTCTAACTTTTCCCATTGTAATTTATTTTTATTTTTAAAAAAACGAGCTAAACTTATTCTTCTTTTATAACCCATAAATTTATTAACTTCATCTTTACTTGTACATTCCATTTTTTTTAATTTATGTAAAGAATTTAAATTTTCAATTTTTTCTTCTTGCTTCTTATTTATATCCTTTTTCATGTAAATACTTTACAACTTCAAGATGACTATTTTCTCCTTTCATAAAATTGGAAAAAACAATTTCAATTAAATTTTTAGGTTCCATTAAATTGGAAAAAGCATATTCAATTAAATTTTCAGGTCCTCTTAAATTTAAATCTTCAATAAAATATTTAAGAATATGTAAATGTTCTATTTTTACAGCATTAATAAAAGCATCATCATTAACCTTATAATTTTGTGATATTAAATATTTAATAACATTTAAATGTCCATACATCGCAGCATAATTAATTAAATCATTAGGACCTCTTAACTTTAATGAATGGAAATATTCAAGGATATGTAAATGTTTATTAATTGTAACATACATAAAAGCAAGATCATTTCCTTTATACCCTTTTTCATATAAATACTTTACAATTTCAAGATGACCATTTTCTGCAGCATTATCAATTCCACTTGTTGATTTATACCCTAATTCATGTAAATACTTTACAACTTCAAGATGACCATTTTCAGCAGCATAATTAATTGCATTTTTTGTTCCTATATATCCTTTATAATGTAATAATTTAATTAAATCAAGGCGACCATATTTAGCAGCAAAGTTAACCTTATTACTTTTTTTATACCCATAGTTTTTTAATATTGCAGTAATATAATATATTTTAGTTGAAGGATTAATTATTTCGTTTTGAATTTTATTTTTCATTCTTTTATTATGTAAAGAAAATTATTTAACTTATTTTTCAATTTTTTTTATTTTTTGTAAAAAAATAAAAAGATTATTAATTCTATAGTCTAATTATCAAATACAACTTCATCTTCATCATCTTCATTATCATATTCAGTAGTTTCTGTAATTTCAGTAGTTACTGTAGTAACTTCTTCATCTTCATCATCTTCTTCATCTTCATTATCTTCATTATCTTCATCATCTTCTTCATCTTCATTATCTTCATTATCTTCATCATCTTCTTCAGTCATTTCAATATCATTATCGTATTCAGTAGTTTCTGTAATTTCAGTAACTTCAGTAGTAGTAATTGTAGTAACTTCAGAATCTTCAGTCATTTCAATATCATGAATATCAATTATATTTAATTTTTCTTCTATTAATCTTAATCTTTCATTTATTGATCTTAAAAATAAATTTTGCATTTCGTTTTCCATTCTTTTTATATATAAAAGAAAAATTATTTAACTCATTT